CCCCAAAACCCCAAAACCCCAAAACCCCAAAACCCCTTATAATATTTTATTGTTGAAATGGAGCATTGGCTACTCGTAAATTTGATTATTAGGTTTGCTTAAAGAGTAGGGACTCTTCAAAATTATGTGTGTAATCCTAAGCATTAATTATATCCTTAGATACAACTCCTGTAAAAGCTGGGGCTGTTGATAGACTTTTAGCACTCGTATTTCTTTGTTATTAGTGTTGATACCAACTAAGAAACCGTAAATTTCTTTGTCCAAAGTCTCATAGCAATATCATAAGTTGACTCTTCCCTATTAACTAGCTAAGACTACTGGCATATGATCAAATCATGATTTCTAATGCTAGAACAAAACAAAGTGTTTGATCTGTCTAAACCATATATTTCATCAATCGGTTCTCAGCATTAAGTTAGATGCTGAAATTGTAGTTGAAAGTGATACCTCTGAGCTTCAAAAATAAAAGAAGAGGGGGTTCACTATGCAATGAATCATTTCTATTCGATTGTATGGCTTCTTTTGTGATTAGAATATTGACAGTTAGAACCAATAATTTTTAAGTTTCAGAAGGTAAAAACTATCATTATTATCAAATGTTAAGGCCATTTTAATGATATCATGTTTACTAATTATTATTGACCTCTTTATTGATTATTTAAGCACCAAAATGATTAGAGGTGTATGGGTGCTTGAGTCCTGCCCAATGATTAAATTTTGCAAATTTTTCAAACAGCTCCAGTAAAAATTTAGGTGTTTCAATGTAGAGGCTGAATAATGCAAACTTTAAGGTTGTTTTAGCTTCATAATGCTTTAATTCATCATATTTATAACTTTCGCCTGATATTATAGTTCAGATTCCAAAACTATATACAAAAAGTAGCCAAGTTAAAATTTTCAGGGCAGATCCAACATGTGTACAAAACATTGATATCTATTTCCATAACTTGTGCTCTCATAATTCATATAGCCAAAACATTGACAGCGAAGATTACTCTTTGGACTAGTCTTTTTATTTTTATGTTTGCCTTGTGTGCCTTCCGTCGAAATTTTATTGTTGAAGATCTTCATATTTTAATCCCTGTCTTAGAAAATTGGATACAATTAAAGTTTGCAACGTAAGCAAAGATGAATACTTCGTGGTACTCAACCTTCATAATTTCATGGTGAGAGTAACCATGCTTAGTGCGAGATCCATGATTAATAGTTTTGAAGCTTCATTTTGGTATAACATGCTTGAGGAGTGCTATAGAGAGACTTCTTAAAATTCCCAGAATGGTCCCTCAGCTGGAAATTCTCAGCGGTGGGAAACATCATAATTTCATATCGGCATTGAGCTGAGAAAGCTCTTTCAGATCCATTCTGAGTGTGAGATGAATAATTTGGCTCAGGAAGCACCTCCTTCAATCTAAAAATTGTCTCCTGAGCTAGCTTCCTTTCTGGGATTTTTTAAATTTGTAATTTAGTGAATACATTAATTATCAAAAGTAACTTTTGTGTCGTACATGTTATAATTATTACACAGTTTATTCGACTTTATGGAGTATGGATTTGACAAATTATGCAGGCTCTCAACTGGGAACTCATTCGTTTAGACGATAGACATTATAAATAGAAGCGTATAGAGTTCAAGATCGTATACAATAACAATCCTGAAGCGCCTTATCAGATGTGAACACTCAGTTTTCAAATTTATGAGAAGTTTACCATAAATAAGTCTATGTCATTATCTGACCATAACCTCAAATTTAGGAGAGTCAGCAGAGTCATATCGTATTAAAACTCATCAAGAAGTTCAGAATAGATTTCATAATTGCTACGTGAATACTTAATATTTCAGAAGCCTTGTCAAAATCAGTATACACCATTTCCGTAGGTGAGCTTTTCAAGATGAGTACTACTGAAGGCGTCTAAGATTGGCGAGAAGATCCAGTACTCTGTTCATATCATTTCATCGAGATTGGTCTGGTTCCTTGAGTTAATTCTGAATTGTTTTTAAAATGTAGTAAACTGTTACTCTGAGTCTTTTCAGCTCAATTTAAATTGAACATATGATTTGTTTTGTGAGTCAATCCCTATAATTTAAATGAAGCCTAGAAGACTTTTTCCAATATTAGTGTTTAAATGCTAATCCCTTATGGAAGGAATAACGAGATATCATCTGCTCTAGTTTAGAAATATCAAAGTGTATGCTACTTCTCCGCTTTCTGGATCTGTTTGAAACCCGCAAAAATAAAAGTGATAATCTTCATTGTTGCAAACATTGATAACTCTACATAAAAATCCTATGTTTGCATTTCTTGTTGAATTTTTTTGATTAAGAACTGACAACTCTCCAGCTTGCGAGGGAGGTCTAGTCTCATTGTCTTCATCCTAATAAAGTTCATATTTTATGGTTCCTGCTGTTTTAGGATTAGAGTAATGGATATATCAAAACTGAGAAGAATAAAATTAAGACCAGAACTTCCAAGATTACCTCTTGTTAATAAAACTTATCAAAATTACATAAAATTAGGATTTTCTCTTTGTTAAAGTTCAATTGTAGTATGAAGAGTTTCATAGATTAATCTGAGATAATATATAAGGAAAATTTTATCAAAATTAATAATTTTAACTATCTCAAACTCATGATTCATAAACTCCCAGTCAGAGTCCAGGCTCTAGAGAAGGCCATCATTGAAGCCCTCATGATGCCACTCTGCTGCAAGACAAGGACTCTTGCAATGCCCTTGGACTCCAACAACAAAGAAGTGTTCATTGACAAGCCAGAGAGAGATTACCCTATAGATGTTGCAAACTCAAAGGTGAGAATACACTTAATTCAGACTCATTCGGATGGAATAGAGGAAGAATCTTATTTTGTTGTATAGGCGTCAAAGATGTCTCTAAATGATCAGTGTGATAAACTCAATAAAATTGAGCAAAAAGCATTCGAAATTAGAACTAAGTAAGTGTACAGCTTTGCTGCTAGATCTCAAAAAAGTAAGATCACAGCTGAAAAATCTCTGACATAAAAAGGGTTTTGTGCCGAACTTTCATTAAATTAACCACAGCTTATAAAGTATAAATTTTGATAATTATGTGGAGAATCAATATAAATAGTGAATCAAAAAAATTGGGACTAGCACCCATCTTGACTTATCATTTGATAGTCCTGGCCTGCATTTGTAACTTTCAGGACACACTCATATGCTTCTGTGAAGTTATACCGATATTTTTGCCACCACAACATGTAATTTGTAATCATTATTTGTGGATGCTCGATTATTTCGTAGTTTTGGAAACATAATTTTGCTCATAAAAATGTATCTTAAAATTAATTTCTAATGTTTTATAAAATATTGTTTCTTTCTCACATCAAGCACGACTTTAATGCGATGACATTTCAGGTTCTCTAACATATATTTAGGAACTCTTCAAATACCAGAGCAAAGTCTGTCCGTTCATCATCAAGAACCTCTGTCCAGGATTCCAAGTACATGAACCCTGAACACGTGGAACAAATGAACATCAAAGTGAAACAGCCTCCGATCGACGAAATCGAGCGACTCAAAGGGTACAAGTACGAGCGGAAGTACCTGCTCAACGAAAAGACCATGCGCACCAACACAGTGCTCATTTGCAAGTACGACAAATGCAACAAAGTGTGCAACAAAACCTGGGATTTGCTCGACCACATGCGCAAACACACCGGCGAGAAGCCTTACCAGTGCAAGGTCTGTCTGAAGAGGTTCTCACAAAGAGGCAATGTCATAAAGCATAAGAAGATGCATGAGAAGGGAGCCAACAAACGCAAGAGAAGGAGGAACACTAATAACTATTAATTAATCAGCCATCATCTTTAAATAATTGAGTCGTTTATTTAAATCTAAAAGAATTCACCTACTGGAGCTCCATATGATTTTGACGATTTAATTTACTTGGCTCAAACCCATTGGATAACTGAGTTTCAATAAGATTAATGGAGGTTCTCAAGTTATCATAAATCTGCCTCTAAATTCTTGAAGATTATTTCTCTTTCTCACTCAATGCCATTATGAATCCTATCTGAAGCAATGGATCTTAAATTTTTGATCCTTTGCTTCTCCTATAAAAATTGAAATTTTGAGAATACAATACTTATAATTTAGCCAGACTCGTGAATCACCTCCAGCTAAATGAATTTGAGAGCACTGATGAACCCTTCTCCTTCAAAGCTCATCTTAACTAATGAAGCAAATTAGATCTTGTAATAAAGATAGAGAAGAGTATGCTAGTTCACTAATGCTTTGATCAATTTGGAAGAGATTTGGATCAAAAATGGATGAGCCTTTCAACAAGGTTTGGGTGCAATTACTTAATCTCAATTTAGTATTCACCACCCGGGGTTTTGGGGTTTTGGGGTTTTGGGG